AGGATTATATTTTTCGAGGGTCTTATATTTATAATATTAAATATAGTTAATGTTATTTTTCCTTCGACTATAATATTTAGAGGTAATATTTTTATAGACCTTTTATATTGGAAATAGTCTTTATATAACGAACCATTTTTTATAGTATTTTAAACTAATATACGAACTATAGTAAAATTAAGTTTATTTTTATACCTTTATTTATTAATATTATTATTTAAATATTTTTTTAGTACGCTATAATCTAAAAATATTTTTTTTTTTTACTTCTTTCTTATATAGTAACGACCTCGCTAACGATTATCGGATTATTATCCTATACCTTTACCTTATACTAGTGCTTCCGAAAATACCGTTTTGTGACGAACCCCTGTACAGAACCTTTGAAAGGGATACGGGTTGAAGGTAATTTCTGACAATTGGTTCGGTGCAGCTAAACAGTGCACAACAAGATGTCTCAATGTAAACACAAGATACCGTAAATACAACTGTGAATTGCATACTGCGGAACTATCTATCTACATCAGCCAGTTCCTCCGTATATATATAGACCTCAATCCTCCAGGTACCTCCGTACCTGGCTCACCTCGATCACCAAGCGCTCCTGGTGATCCATCCTGGCTCACCTCGCTCACCCAGCGCTCCTGGCGAGCCGGCTCACCTCTGCCAAGAGGTGAGCGCCCCATTGTCCTGCAGCCCCGCTGTTATCTGTCACTTGATTGGTCACTACGGCCTGCTGCAGTCCCCGCTCTGCCTTGCTATATGGTTGGTCTGTGACACGTTTGTAATCCGTTAGAGGTTATTAGCCTCCGCGAAGGACTGTAAATCGTTTTTTAAACGGTTATATCGTTTAGAAGTATTTTCCTACTTCGGGTTATTTAATAATACGAAATCTTTTAACTATACCCGCTTAACTTCTTTTTATTTTCCGTCTTTTATATATTTAATATTCTTTTATATATATATTTATTAACGTGCATGATAAGCGAGCGCCGCAGATAAGCGAGCGCTATACTGTTCGACGCGACCTAACCCTCCACCTTTAACATTCCATTTTTGAACCAAAAACCATATCTTTTACCTCTAACGAAGCTAGAGTAATTCTAGCCGCTAAAACTATAAAAAATAATAAAAACCTAAATAAATAAGCTATAGCGAAGATCTATAAAATTAACGATAGAATTATTTACCGTTAATTTACCGGTATATTTATACGACATAATATTTTAATTAATTTATATAAATTTATAGATTTAAAAGAAAAAACGATTATTTAATATATAATTAAGCTATTTATACGTATATTTTATCCCCGGCTTTTATATATAAAAAATATAACTAATCGATTATTACGCGAATGCGATACGCTTTTTATTAACGTACGATAGGTTTATAATTTTGTTAAATATTAATTAAAACTTTAAACGTATTTTATATATAAATATAATTATTAAAAGGTTAAATACGAAAATTTAAAGGTTATTAACGAGTAGTTTACTTTCGTATAGAATATTAAAGTTAAATATAATATTATAAATAACGATATTTATAATTTCGACGAGACTAGGTTTATAATAAATATTATTATTATTATTATAATTATTATAGTTTTTAATAGCCGTAATAAAGTTAAATAGGTTTAATTTAATAATTATAAATAAATTCCAGTTATTTAAAACGTAAATACTTTTAATTAAACTATTTTATTATTTATTATTTTAATTAAGTAATATTATTTTATTAATTAATATTAAAAATATAGTTTTCCGGCTATTTAATGTATTATAATAATTAATAATAATTAAAATTATTAATAAAAAAATATAAATTAAATTTAATACTTCGATTTTTATAAAGTATTTCGGAAGAAGGGGAAAATACGGGGTA